AAAGAACACCCCACAGTCCATATTTGGTAGTTGTACAGTTGTCGCAAGATAAAGATTATTCCGTCAGAGCGCCAACGACGTCCTCCACGATCAAGACGGTCGTCGCGTCTATCTCAGGAACCAACCTCCGAAATACGGCAGATTTTCTCAGAGAGCTCAGCATGCCAATACCCAATGCTCAGGAAGTGAGCCGAACGTCTCTCAGCGTGCGGAGCAGGTACAATCACGGCACCGCAGAAAACGTAACATCAATATCAAATAATACTGCAAAGTGAGCACATACAGCTTGCAAAATAGTGTGCACTTATATATCCTCACAGCCACTAAAACAGCAACACCCAATGCATTCCTAAGGTTCAGGTGGGCTTGCCCCCCAAGGCTACCGTCATCTGTCCACGTCTTCTACATCTATGTCACGATCGATTTCGTTTTTCCGCACCTGGTTCGATCTCTCTACCTCTTCTACGCCAATAAACCGATTGCACTCCCCGTCCAATACGTGCTTTGGCCTACGCTCGCCATCTGCACCAACCGCATCATCACCCTGGCCTTCCAGATAATGTCTGGCTTGCTCCACTCCTTCCACGCTAACGCCAGCAGTCCGGCCGAGTCGCGCCTGAGACGTCCGGTTGCCCGCCTCTGCCACGTCCTTAGCACTGCGCTCACCCGGCACCGGAACCAACCTGTCCACCTCCTCTACACTGATGACATGCTCGCTCCCATCTTCCGGTGTATGTATAGTCCTGTCCGCCTCCTCTTCGCTGAAGTACCCCGTCGTGTCGCCCGGCTCGCGGTGGGCGACCGGCGCGCCGAACCCCACCAGGTCGTCGCCGCTGAAGTTGCGCACGAACGCGTCTTCGGCGTCGGCGCGGCGTGCGGCCGCCTGGCGTTCGGCCTCCGACGCCGCGATCTTGTGCACGTACTCGCTGGTCGCCCAACGTAGACGTCGAGCGTCTTCTCGGCGCACTCGGCGATGAAGCGCACAAACGGCCGCACGTCGCCCTCGTTGGCCAGCTGCAAGCAGCGGTAGTAGATGTGACGGTCTTGCTTGCGGATGATGACCGGCGGGAAGCCGGCCTGCATCAGGATCAGGTTCATCAGCAGCCGCGACGTGCGTCCGTTGCCGTCCGAGAACGGGTGAATGAAGACGAGCTTGTAGTGCGCCAGCGCCGCGTACTTAACCGGGTGCAGCGCCACCGTCTCCGGCGCGTTCAGCCACTGGATGAAGCCCTCCAGCAGGGGCGTGATGCGTGTGGGTGGCGGCGGCACGTGTTCGCTGACGTACACCTGCGTCGTGCGCAACTGTCCGGCCGCCAACGGGTCGGCGTGACCCATCACGCGCCGGTGGATCTGCAGCAGGTCATCCAGCGTGATGTCGCCGATCCGGTGCACCAGAGTCGTGTTGATGTACTTGATGGCAGCGTCCAGTCCCAAGATTTCGTTGTGCTCCATGACGCTGCGGCCGCCCACAGCCATGCGCGTCTCAACGACCATGCGCGTCTCGGCCAGCGTCATCGTATTGCCCTCGATTCCCACCGTGTGGTGGATTTGCTGAAAGTAGGCTTCCTTTTTGACGCGGCGCAGTGCCGAGCTGCTGTCCGGCACCTTCGCCAGCTCCAGCAGCTTGCGATCGATGCGCCGCAGCAGCTCCAGGTCGCTTTGCTCCACCAGCGGCTGCGTCCGCTGTCGGTTTTGCAGCGCCCGCCGGTGGCCCGGCGCGAAGATGAGGGCACGCGTGTACAGATGGTTGGCGCGCGTCACGTCTGAGAGCTCCAGGAACTCACCATACTCAGTCAGCACATCTGGATGGCGAGGGCTGAGTGCCAGTGCGTGCTCGAACAGCTTTCCAGCCTTCTCCAGCTTGCCGAGTTGGCACATCTGGGCTGCAGCCTGTAGAGTGTTGCGGGCCTCATACTCCGCATTCTTAGCTGCGAGGGGAAAGGCAAAAGTTGCTTTGGTTGCAGTGATTGCATCTGCACTGAGACAGAGCTCCTGCTAATTTCAAGTGACAGTTGGCTCAAATTTTGCATGCATCACCACCAAATAACCTGCACTAAAAAGTTTCAGCAAATCATCAAAAATGTGGGGTGAGGGTGCTAATGCCCCAATGTGGCCAAAACAGACTTAAACTAGAAATTGAGTTTAACTGACCAATTTCCTTTTTGAAGTGGCTACTTATTTTGGGGGGAGACTAATTAAAAGCTGGGGATTCCTAGCCAACTACCTCAGAAACTATGCATATGCCCAATGCAATCAATGCATGCAGTAGCAGGGGATCATGACCAGTGTCAACCATAGCCTTGACAGCAGAAGTTTTCTACAGAAAGACCAGCAGAAGCAGCTATTCCAAGCACATCAAAAGGAAAACAATTACTTAATATAAAGCATTTCACATGGAGCTGTGGCAGATGCTCATTATTCATGAATGAGTGAATCAGATTTAAACTATCACTAACATATGCCACTGAAACATGTGTAGTGTAAGCACACATTCAAATTTTGTGGTATTTGTGACTACATTTTATCACTTCAATTGCCTTGTCCTTCATACTGATCAATCATAAAAACATTGTACTCATGACATGATGACAGAAGGAAACTGAAAAAATGCCCCCTGTGGCAGGCAGTATTATGTACTTACTCTTTTGATCATGGTTAGGGTCTTTGGGGGCTAACTCAGTTCCAGGATTAAGGAAATTGGGACTAAGATCGTCAGTATGCAGATAAAGTTCATCTTCAAGAGGAAGAAAAGAGCCTGGCTTTGTTCCAACGATCAGTCCACCAGAAAAGTGTTCCAAAATGAGTGAGCTCAGCAGTGTGCAAGAGACACCTACCAAAAACACTACTATTGATGTAAGCTTGGACATGCTCACAACATGCTCCTGCAGGTCCTCATCAATCAATTTATGTGTCACTGGTTTTCATGACTTCACAAAATCACTTCTCAAAAGTAACCACTCGTGCTGATTCGCAAAAGGGACAATGGTCGTTGATACTTGACCCAGCTATGAAGCTATATACACAAATAGCAACCAAATTTTTCCCTGTGAGAACAGAACTGTTAAAGTGATTCAGCGTATTCTGGACACACAATGCCCTTTATATGAGGATTTGGTGTGTGGACGCATGGAGAAAAGGTCGCGTATGGTGCTTCGCCTCACACTTCGATTTTAGTACACAAGTCTGCTACATACGTAAATACACGTAATCATTTTGATAAACGAACTACCTGCGCCGAAGTTGTCATCACTAAATGAAGCAAGCTGGACTACTAATTGAAGAAACGTGACGCTTCAAATCAAGTGGGCGGCAGTATTCATGCGGCTCCGAACATGGGTGCCGATTTCTGAAAATGGTTGGGGAGCAGATTCAAAGAAGTTATCATAAGGGGGCATGGCCAAAAACTTCTTGGGTTTGTGCCTGATTTTCTTATTATTACTCACATTATATATATATGCTTTGCTTACGTGTCTTTTCAAATCTTACGTGCGTGGCCACAGCAATTATGCATGGAATCAAGCATCAGAATACTCAACTTTGTTCAGAATCGAGAAGGGGAAGAGTTACATAACCCAGGTTTGGTCATGCGCGCTCGCAAGTCTAACAGCAAAACCCCCACTCCCGGCATTGCAGTTTGCCGAGGCAGTGCGGCGTCGGTCCTGCGTCTTACACCAGGCGGTGGCGAACGGATGGAGGAAAACGGCAATGTTTCTGGAGGAAACACCTTTGAACGCTTTAAAATGTCAATTTGAACGCCTGCAATGTGTTCTGGGAGTATATTTTACCAGTGAAATTTTCAGACTTATGATATAAGCGGATTACCATTTACAACACTGTGAACCTTTGCAAGAATTTAATGGTGGAACAAGGCAGGTAAAAGTGGAATCTACGTTCGTGCTGCTGTCGCTGCATATTTCATCAGAGGATAGGCTCAAAACTATTGAAGTGGAATATGCGCTGCAGTCCAATTTCTGAACAGTATGAATTCATTTGTTAAAACTTTTGGTTGCATTATTTTACGATGGATGTTCTCGGGCGCCAGGCGCCCACCACTCGGTGTCAGCCGCAGTACGCCGCTCGGTCTCATGAAAACTACAACCCTAGCCTCTGATGTTCTTGCTACTAAGATTGTGAGCACGTAGGCCCAAAGCTGCTTTATGCAATTTGCTTCACATGATAATCCTGAACAAGGATCGATCGATATATTTTACTGACCTTTTTCATTCTGAACTTATTGTGATCCGCCTGTTGGCCATTACGGAAATCCTTTTTTCCGGGCAAAGGATCCAGTGTATAGACCAATAGGGAACAAATTATATTTCCCGGTCAGGGGCTTCAGGACCATTCGGTTACAGCGTGGAGTGCTCGCTGGCTGTCATGCCGGTGACACAGGGGCGGGATGCTCTGGCCGATACAGAAACCCTGAAAGGGACACGTCATACATTGTTGGCCTGCCTGACGGCAGAGGGCCCCTGACCCGATCATTTGTTCCCAAATAGACGCAGGGTTCTCATTTATACAAAAGATCACTATAATTGCAGGTGTCCCATAATTGGCAAAGAGACTTCCACAGTTCGGCATAACGGACCCCTGGCTGAAATGGGATATAGAGCCCTCCGTTCGGTACCGGGGCCCTTCCTGACAAACTGCCTTCCATTATCGCGTTGTGGACTCACATCGTTAACTTTCATCTCCACTTGCATTGCCAGAAGGCCTCGACCAACGCAAAGGACCCCTGGCTTTTGGGGTCCCGTCCCGGTCCCTGTCCAACAGATGTTGCCCTGGTCGACTCGAGGCCCATTGCGAGCATTGGGCCCTCTATCAGGCATTGTGGGTCTCTGACCAGTAAAGAAACCCTCATTGTTGCAAGGGACCCGACACCCGACCCGACACCAACCCACAAATCGCGGGTTTTGACTTTTTCCCTGCTTGGGAAATGTGCCCCCAGCTCCCAGACCGACACGGAGCCAACTGCTCGGTTTTGGTGGTCTGTGACCGAAATAGAGACCCGAATTGCCCCAGGGTGTCTCCAGTCGGTGTAAGAGGCCCTCTAACTAACATCTGATGGCCCGGCCCTGCCCTCTTGCCCTCCAAGCGGGCACTTGATCATCGATTTCGAGGGACCTCCGGATCCTCTGCGGGACCCTGAACACTGTCCAAGGCTGACGCTAAGCCCCTTGTAAATACCGACCCTTACTAGGCTCTGTGGTCGCTGACTGATACGGGAACCACTCATTGACTGAAGGGTCCCTACCAATGAAAATCGTGCATCTCGGCTCTGCCTTTGCTTGAGAAATGGGCCCTAAGTCCCAGACGTGACTGTGGAGGTATAATCTTGTGACGAATATTTCGCGTGTTACGGTCGTTAAGTCTATCATTGTTGTGTGTTTCGCAAAAATAGGATTGGTGAGGCCAAGTGGGAAAAACTAGCGTCAGATACATTAGAAAGCAGGATACTTCCCTGATTAGGCCCAATTTCCTCTGAGTGACGTTGTGGGGTTGGAGTACCCCCAACACAGACTGCCAAATACAGACCTCGTCAATACGTTTGCCTGATCTGTTTCGGTGAAAGATCTTCTCGTTCCACATCATAATAATTTCGTCTGGCGTCAATCGCCGAAGCCAGGCTTTGGTAATCGACACAGAGTCGGTATTATGTGACTTCGGATGTTGAACGTGTACGTCTTCGGGAGCGAAGAGATCCTGTAAATTGATTTGTGCGACCAATAATGTCTCCCATGGAAATCCCGGCTGATTACCGCAAAAACGGGATGCAGGTGCATCACTTCCATTAGGCATGTTTGACACGGCTTGTGTTGATGGTTGTGGTTGGACGATTACTGCTACCGGTTTAGCGGGCTGGTGCTGATTGTCAGGTTTTTGCAGCTCTGTGCTGGCATGGGGCCCCTGGTCAACGTAGGTAAACGCATTGCCTCAGTGGGTCCTCAAACGGTTGCAGGAGGACATTAAACTGATATTTCAGGCCACGACCGTGCGGTTCGTGATTGTTAATGCGACCTACAGTCAGTCCTTCGGCTCTTATGCCCTCCAGCCGGGCGCTTAATAGTCGGTTCCAGCGGGCCGCAGCGTCCCTCTTCGTGCCTCATCGAACACTGACCATGGTCGGCTCGGGCCCCTAGCGAGCACATAATCCTCTGTTCAGCGCTGCGTTTCCTGACCGATACAGGGGGTCCCGACCAGTGCAAGTCACTGGGCCAGCTTTGCAAATCACTGGCGACCATGGAGCCACCTGTGCGTTACTGGTCGTATCTGACCAACATATAGACTCTACCAACTCAGGGTACCCCTGATCAGCGCGCAGGGCCCTCTGGCCTGCCAATGGTGGTACGCGACCCTGCGGGCCGAGGCCCCTGAATACGGACCTCTGGCCGGCCTTTTGGGTCCTTGTTCCCCCTCAACTCGGGCCATTATTCTTAGGCTACGAGGGATCTTTGGGCCCCCCGGAACCTCAAGGGGGAAGGGTAAGAGAGGGAAATCGTAAATCTCGGATTTGCACATGCTCCCTGTACCGTCCCTCCGCCTGCGTTACCGCATGTTTCAAAAACATACTTAAGTGAAACCTCATGACTCGTTGCATCTAAAAATTACACTGGGCAGCGCGACTGCAGCACCGCCAAAGCATAATGAGGATATCTAAACTTCAATCATTCTCGACTCAAAATTACGCTGTTAGCGCTTCGCGACAGCAATGCGCTTCTTCTTGTAGGAGTGACCACTGTCGTCGCGGCAACCGCCGTACGTACCTGTCACATGGATATTGTTATTCCCCCATTCCCAAAGCCAAAGTGACCTTCGAAAAGAGCCGCTGTGGTAAACTTTGGAGAAATCAAAAGCCATAGTGTAACGTTCGGTTGAAAACGCGGGAAAAATAGCTTCATCTTGTCATATATTTTGTTTCAACAGTGTTTCCAGCTTACGTAGCCATTTATAACACAAACAGTTTAACACGTCAGTGCGTTTTAAACATTAAAGAACAAAAGCAAAGTGAATGAAATGCATTTCTTTCATATGATGAGCAGGGAGTAAAATACAATTTCTCCCGCAGGTTTGGCTAGTTCAAATAGAAATTTTAAGCTTTTTAGGACTTAGAGAAACATATGATTCGGATCAAATTGTACGCGTGTGGTGTAACAATAGGTGAAAGGAAGAAAAGGGAGGGATTCTGCCTTTCAGACATTACGCCGGGATTCCCCCCCGTGGTACTTCACGCATGTATGACGCTGCATGCACGTCATGCGGTCTGATTCTTTACAGCGTATCGACAGGCATCAGATTAGTTAAGCAGAAGCTCAATGGGTGCAGGAATAAACCTCTGGTCTATAAGTGCATGGTCATGTCCAGCTGTGAGCCGGCTTAAAAACAGATGGTTACCGGGGGGATATATTAAAAACTTCCCACTGGCATGATCACAGTGTCAAAAGCATATAGCCAGACTCACAACGACTGACAAAAATTTATGCCGGAAGTCTGAAGTGGGGCGTTTTAAGGTGAATAATACCAGTAATTTTCGAGGATTGTCATGGTGCCTTAAACGGTTGCAAAATAGTACCGCCGGAAGCAAGCCGTTACGTCACGAAGAGGGGTCTACAACTACTGCGCTTGTGCGCCAAAATGACAAGTCGTTTCCTGCGACAGTGGCGCAGAAGCAGGTTCTGGACGGTTAGGTGCTCAGGGAGCGTCGTCCCAGAGAAGCGGTCCTCACGTTCGCGAGTGCGTTACGTCATACCAATGCTCAGCGATTGGAATCTCTGAACTGGGTTGGGCGGTGGATTGAGGGCAGCAAGAGTGGCCTAAATCCGATGAGGATCCTGGATATTTGTATTCGCCAGATGCTTTAGAAGACTTCGGCAGTGCCGCGTCCAACCTCGCCGAACTACTGGAGAATACTCCGGTGTTTTGACAACAGTGCTCACGGAAATCAACCTCTCGACATCTGGATCACTTAGCTGCTGGCCTTGCCAGCTCATAACTGCTTCAAAATGCTCATCACAATGAAGAATTTGCAGCAGCAGACCTTCCAGATAGATATCGATGCATCCCAGTCTGTAAGTTGATTATATTGTTATATTGTCCACCATTGTGGTTGTTTCCATGAACTATTAATGCAGAGAACTTGCACTGCATCGTTGTGTGTTTTGCATGATGTT